ATTTTTAACGCCGTTACGTCAATAGAGATAAATAAGAAAATAAAACAATGGTAAAATGTCGTAAAAATCCGGTTACCAGATATTTGTGATTGACATATCAAAGAATTGCCCCACAAAAGTTGTCCTTCGTTTAGCAGCCATATATGATAATCCTACCTTATTTGGAAATACGATAGGAATGGTTTTTGTCGATTTTCTCGACTTTTAAAGCTTGAAATAATCGTATGAAACTTGCAGATATTATAGCGAAAACACTTCTCAACAATCGGCCATTTTGTTTGTTTCCATATATGGCATGGATTCGCTAAAGGAAGCCCAAAACTAAAAAGCACAGGGAACCCGCACGAACGACATACAATTCTTTGATATGTGTTGAATTAACCTTCTCTTCTCTCCCTTGATCTTCAAAATAAACTCCTTCTCTTTTGATCCAGTGAGAAAGCTCCAGTGCCTTAAGTAAAAATAGGCAGTCGAGGACTGCATGCGGACTCAGGCTGAGTGAGGCAGATTATTGATTAGTGGTTGTCGAGCTTAAATCCACTGAAAGTGCGCTGTATTACAAATAAGTGAACTTTCTATATTGACATGAGAACCTTCTATGTGCACATGGGAGTCATGCATATGCCATATATGGAAGTCGTAGTTATAGGACTTTACTTTACTAGACACTTACCAGCACAATAAAAATTAACAAAAAGAGCAAATAAACAAAGTGAAACAAAGAACAGCAACAACACCAAGTCAAAATGTACAAACAACAACAACAAAACTACATCTGAAACTCTATCAAGAGCCTACACGGGACTTTGATAGCCAGGTGGCAGCTTAATAGAGGTTGGCCTGGTCTTCTTTGATAGAGGTTTTTATTATTATTTGTTTAGGCGGCTTGAGGCTACTTTCTAGACTTGCCTACTGGTTTTATTGACCGAATGTCTACAGCAAGACCAAAAATTAATTGATTGGTGGATCATTATTTTATTTTCAATACAATCACAAAACTACAGTTGATTCATGACATGTGAACAAGATAATGACGGTACATCTACGATACGGGTTCATTCGATCAAAGCACTACTAGTGAGTTTCCATTTTTATCATGTTGGTGTGAATTTCATAGATATCACTAGACAACAAAACTAAACAAGCCGGCACGCAAACCCAAACTAAGAACTTCTGAATACAGATTTAAAAATATTATGAATAATAATAAATAATATCTTAACTGATCACTTTAGCAACAATGACTGTCAAAATTGACTCAAAAAATTGAAATTGAGATTTACGATACTATAAATTAGAGACGTAATTCATCATCATTGTTCCCCAGTCATACAAATTAAAACGACTCTACTGGTATTTGATACTAAGCTGATATAAGTAGACTTGCTATTTACTACGCCGGGTATATAATCATAGTCTGTTTGTTTAGGTCGTTAGGCCGTAGTCTCGTAGAAGACTTCGACATCACTTGGTGTGAACCTGTACTGGGTGATTGATTTGCGACCAGGCCTGCATATGAATTCGCCAAGGTTGTAAGCCAGTGAGCCCGTGCATTTTTGTTAAGCGGTCATATTTGAAAGTGTAAATAAAGAAAGGAAAAACCCGCATCTCGCTTTTCACTCAGACAAACAGTACAAGTCGTGTTAAATTTATTTACATAACTAAACAAAATGATTATAGAATTAAACCTTTAAGAATAATTGAATGCTCATATGAAACATTTTCCACCTTAAATACACACGTGTTTTTCAGAAGGGAATTTAGTCGAACTTTTTTCACCATGGAATTTTGTTTTGAGTCGTTTCGACATAAACAGTCGCTATCAAGACATTACACGAAAAACCCCAGTCACCGTTCTAGCTCTCGTTGTAAGGTCAGAGCTCGAGCTAGTAAATGTGTAACTGGCCTGTTACATAACGTCAAATCGTCGAGCACGCTTGCGGCTTATTGCCGAAAATGCGACAAAGAATGAACTACGACCGTTGTTTGTACCAAAAATAACAAACGCTTTCACTCTATTGGAATACGTGGACCTAAGCTGCTCTAGCTCTTCCATTGATATTATAGATACCTCAAAGCTTAGAGGAAACAAGAGCTAAGAAAAATGATTTGCAATGGTTCCTCCTAAGATACTTTGTACTTGAACGTCGCTTCAACGACCTTCTGAAGTCTACGTGAAGTCGGTCATTGCTTCACATGCAATGGAGAACCCGCGTAGAACACAGAACAATTATTTCTATAAGGGAGGGGAGTCTCGTGGTATTAAAGAAAAAGTTATTTGTTTTTTCATTTTTGAGATAAAAATCTCTTTCTATAACGATAAATATTTGATTGACATTTAAAAGCTATTTTATAAAGATTTGCAATTTCTCTTTGCCTTTTAGCTTTGATTTTTCGGATAGAATAAAATAACAGGCAGCCTACTCCACTGGGTCGAGTTTTGCTGTGCAAATTCCTCCCGTCGGAGGGTTATGTTTACAACATAAGCTTGTCAGCTTTACGCTGATTGGCTAGTCGCATTTTCTCAAATCACCCAGTATTTACCAACAAAGAAATCAGGACATGAGATACAGCCAGGGGTGGTTTGGTAGTCATAGCCAAGATATGAGCGGGAATCGTCGTTACTCGATGCGTTATTTGAGATATAAAGGCCAGGTGGGTAACAGCCAAATATTGGTCCATACCTAGCAAAACCACCAATAGCCAATTTGTTGTTATCTCTTCCTGTCAGGTTCAGCTTCACGGGCTGATATCCCTTGATGTTGTACAGCGAGTACAGGAACGACTGGTTTGAAAAAGAACAGCCACCATTCTCTAAAACAAACAATTGCACATTATTTGTCATTGATTGACAATCTCCATCTTTTAGTCCATGGGCGATGGGACAGTTGTAGGAAAACGGTTATCGTCGTTATGTGACTCCTCCCTAACGGGAGAGACCTGGGAACGAGCTACAGTAAGACACATAATGTATGAGTCATTTCCAAAGGTGCCCATCCCCCCCCCCCGGGCATTTGACTTTTCAAAAAAAAAGTGGTCAAATTCCCCACCATATGGGCAAAATTGACAGTCAAATAAATGCCCACACTAGTAAGAGGGTCTCAATGGGGGGGTCCGTATCACTACTCACGGCTAAAAATTTGACTTTAGTTTTCTGGCCTCACGGCTAATGTTTTTACTCATTTTCACGACTCACGGCTATTTTTTCACATTTTTACGATTCACGGCTAATTTTTTAGCCGTTTCACGGTTCACGGTTAACCCCACTGAGACCCTCTAGTAAAAGCAAGTGAGTGGTCAAATGCCCGCCCCATAAGTCAGTTTTTTTACGCTAGTTTTCGAGTGCTTTTGTTGCTTTTTATATCGCGATTTCTCATCTTGAAAGTACAAAAGATCGAGAATGTTCCCAAACATGATTGTAATCCTCGTGGCTGATCACTGTACGGAGGTAAAGTCGTGCCATATGCCCGGGGTTTGCCCGGGGGGGATGGGCACCTTTGGAATTGACTCACACATAAATACTGCGGGAGGATTCCGACAGAATTGAGTACTCTCTATATCTTTGAAAATCGCAGATACATAGATCAGCGGGAGTTCAATGATATAATRCACTTTTTCTCCATATGTTAGATCACGTGTCCCTGAAGCGTTTTGAATTAACAGTAGTTTTTAATGTCCAACAATTAAAAACAAACTTATGCTGTAGGGTTAAGATCAATATTGAATTTAGGAAATGTTAAAATATCATTACTATCGTATTTTTGTAACCAATGAGTTTAGTTAAAGTTTATAACGCAGTTTAAATTTATTCGCGTGATCAATACTTTTGGTTTTTATTCTTCGTTTGTTTAACGCACTGTCTTCTGCTTTGGATCAACTAGCTATTATTGCTTGTTACATAGTTTGATATTTAGACGAGACCCAAATAATAACTTGATACTAAGTATAATTGATAGTATTATTATTATTATATTATTTTAACAATAGTTTTTGGGTTTAGTCTAATTTTGTAAAACATATATCAAACTATGTTTACTACATTTGGTAGTAAAAGTATTCTATAACCAGATACTTACTGGTAGCATTGACGCACAATTGCCCGTTCCCTAGATACCCTGGCTTGCATGTACACAAAAAGGACCCTTTGGTGTTGTTGCAAACTGCATTTGAGTCACAGTTGTGTGAACTTGCAGCGCATTCATTGATATCTGAAAACAAGTGATTTTAA